AGCTTTCTTAGCTAATCCTTTATTTTTGCGTGCACCACACGATGAAATTGCTTGATCTTGAAATCGGTATAACTTAATATTTACTGTTCTCACGAAAACGACAAAAAAACGCTTCGCCGCATGTCGACATTATTTGACGTACGCTGTACTTTGACTAACTACGGTAGATCTTTGATGAACTTCGATTATAGATAGTGGACTTAAGGGCTAGGGCTACGAACTTTCAGGATTAACTATGACCGAAGTAAATAAACTGGATTGCTGGCAAGCTGGCAACCTGGATACTGATACGTTACAAGTACGTGCTCATATGGGACATCCTGTTGGGTGGCAGTGGGCACTGTTGCGCGCGCACCTGCGCAGGGCTCACCAGGCATGTTGTTCAGAGACCCACCCTGTAGTCAAAGTAACTGTGCAGGACCAAGCTGCGACACGACGGGACCCACCACCTGCAGCTGCGCCATCACCCTCTGCAGCGGCGCCCACCCAAGGACCACAACCTGCAGCTGCACCAGCACCCTCTGCAGCTGCGTCAACACCTTCTGCAACTGCACCAGCACCCTCTGCAGCGGCGCTCACGCCCATCCAGGGCCCACCACGTGCCGAGGTGCATCCCACGCGGGAGATGGATGTTGGGGATATCAGCTGGAGAAGACCGGAAGACATGAAGCCGGAGAAGGCCGCCGCGCTGGAGGAGGCGCTAGGGGTAAGTGAGGGCCCCTCGGGGCTCACGGCCCGGCCCGGGCTGGCCCACAAGGAGACTTAGGCAAGTGTTAATTCCTGATTTTGCCTAAACTCGGTAAATTTGCTTCTTATCCATGTTGATGACGATTGCGTGTTAGATTTTAGACAGTCCCAAAGACTCAGTTGTTGTCCTTGCCATTTAGTTCTAGGTTACTTACTTTAGGGGAGCGAACAATGGAAAAAGTTTCGAATTTGGCCAAAAATTGATGGAACGAGTTTTCAAACGCAGTCTTCAGCGCAGCGGTGACGTGGCGCGGCGGCGCAGTGTATAGGAGTTTTGGCAAATGAATGTCAGGAAAAATTTGATCGACAGATCGGCAAATATGCCGAGTTTGGGAAAGATCGGATATTATCACTTGCCTTTGCCTTGTGAGGGGGAGCAGCGTGCACTGAACTCTTCCGCCTGTGAGCCCGGCATGACCGTGGCCTGGGACGACTGCAGCCGCCGCCGGCCTCGTGTCCGGCCGCCCTGACAGTGAGTGACCCTATTCTGCTGCAGGTGACGCGGCTGGTGGACGTGCGGTGCCACAGGGACCCCGCGTAGAGCCTCGAGCTGCTGCAGCGCGCCGCGCCCTCCCTAGAGCAGCTGAGTGTGCACAACCCCAGCGAGGACCACCTGCTCGCGGTGCACGCCATGCCGCGCCTCAAGAGGCTCTACGTGACGGCTAGTCCGAACGCTTGCATCCCCGAGCTGCCCGAGCTCCCGCCGGGACACACCGGTCTGCAGTGGCTCAGGGTGTGGGGCCTCCGCCGCCAGACGCTGAGTTCCATGCTGAAGGCGCATGGCGAGTCGCTGGAGGAGGTGCAGCTGTCGGTGGGCACGCCGATGGCGACGTCGTCCTACTCTTACCCATATGACGACCACAAACTGGATTCGCTGCTGCAGTGGAGCGCCCTCCGGGCCATGCGGAAGCTCGTGCTGAAGAGGCATTTTGTCCACCACAACGCTGACTCGTGCGTCCGGCAGAGAGCCTCGATACGCCTGCACTTGGACGGGGCCGAGGTGCTGTGCGACCAGTGTGACGGTGTGGTGGCAGAAGAATTGTAGGTAGAGGCGGCGAGAGCGACAGCACCAAGTAAGTGACACAAGAGGACTCCGAACAGCGCGGACGGTACGAGGGAGTGGAACGGGCGTGAGTCGTGAGTGTAGGGCTTGTGGATCCAGTTGTACCAGTAAAGAAACGTCTTTGTTACAATAAACATGCGTACCACCACACGTTGTACTTTCCTGAAAGCCTACTTCGGGTACGGGTGTAATGATTATCTCCAGCACTTCAGAGTGGATCGCGCTGGGACCGACCACCAGAAAGCTTGGTGGCTGTAAAAATTCTAGAAATTTACTTCATTTAGCTCTGTTTTGGGTACTACACTCAACAAAGGGGCGGCGGGCGGGGCCTGGAGCACAGTCTCGATAGTTGGCGGTACTGAATTGAACTCTAACAGGTGGTCGCGTCGTTTCGAAACTTGCCAAGTTCAGTCTCTGCAAGCTCTTTTAGCTCCTGATGGATAGGCAATATCTTGACTGCAGTGCATGGGTGTATTCCGGGGCGGCCTACCCCGAGTCTCGCAGGCGCTGACACAGAGCTCCCGTAATTACTTTGACGAATGAATCTGAGGCAAAACGGACGTACTTTCTAGACGACCCCTAATAGCCCGACCCCAACCGCAAGGCGCCATGGTCTGGCACATTAGACAAACCCACCAGCAGATAATGTACAGTACGGTACAGTCAGACAAATAAGCAAGCGGGGCGAATCAGTCGCAACAAAAATGATTAAACAATTAAACCATGATTATAGAGGGAACACCGGCAAACGAGCCACAGAAACCCTTCATCCCGACAACTTATTCTCAAGCCCCAAGCAGGGAAAGCAGGTCAGACGCGACCACAGAGCACTGCACGTCCATCAATCAGAGAAGCACCTGGAGGGGAGAGGGGCGCCGGCAGCACTCCAGCCGGGCTCCAGCCCCTCGCTGGAGTGCTCTCCAGTCAGTAGCCCTGCCGCCCCACCCCGCGCGCCCGCGCCCCGGCGCGCGATTGTTCCAGTAGATGGTGGTGGTTCTGGTTCTCCAGAGCGTGAGTTCGCGAGCAGCTGACCGTTTTCCTGCCGTGTCACGTCCACCACGTCTTACCGAGGCGATGGCGTGCTGGAGCAGGGCGTCCAGGGAGCCGTTGTTGTGGAGGTTCCTGGGGGCGACGGCGGCGGCGAAAGAGGACGACGTCGACGGCGAGGCGATGGGCTCCCAGTCACCGCAGCCGGCCAGGGCGGCGTGCCCGGCGGCGAGGGCCGCGAGCACCGCGAGCAGCAGCCCCATCGGCGGCGTCCTGGACAGCAGCATGCTCGCGTCCTCGCGGTGCACTGCGCAGTGCGCGTGGGCCGTACTGACCGGCCGGTCGGCGTCCTGACCTGCCCCTCTTCGCCCGCCGCCCGTCCGTCCGTCCCACCTGGCGGCAGGGCAGGGCGTCACCCCCTAAGTCAACACAGACCGCTCCTCCGTATTGACGACGCGTCAACCGCAACGCCAACGGCTCCAGCAGCGGCGGCGGCGGGGGCGGTGTGGCGTGGCGTGGGCGGACTTCGGGAAAAAAGAAAAGACTCGCGGTGCCACGGCGGCGGTGCGTACTCGAGCACAAGGACGGGGTCGCGGTAGTTGTCGCCGTCGCCGTCGCGCCCGTTAGTGCTGCGTGCCCCGCCCGCCCCGCCCCGCCCCGCCACGCCGTAGAACACACCCACGCTGCGCGCCCCGCCGTGTTTGCACTCTCCTTCTCCTTTCCCCAGTCTTTCCGCCGCGATGTCCTCGTGTCGTCCGCTTTACCGGACCCCCATTGCCTCAGTGCTGCTCATTCTGAGGTGTGGCCGGGCGCGCCTCCTGGCCGAGCCTATGAAGTGTTGTCCCAACGCCGCCCGCCCCAGGGCAGGAACCCGCCGCCGCCGTGTGCGAGCACATAGTTTGGCGATGAAAGTTCTGCGGGCTCGACGGGCTCTTGCTTGTGTGTGTGTCTTTCGCATGATTAACTCTGCGTCCCCACCGGCCGGCGGCGACCCGACCAACCTCCCACCTGATGTACATATAGTATTTGCGGCAGCAGCGGTCGACTAAAACGGGACCATACGCCGCCGCATGGCAAAAGCCAGAGCATTCATCGCGTGTCAGCCGCAGCACTAACAAAAGAGGCGCACTCCGACCTTTATTTAATTCGTGCGTCGTGTTGTTTGGAGTCGCGCGTGGGGGGGGCGAAAGTGAGCGGGTTGATTTGGTATCTTTGTTTCATGCAAATGAAAAGAGGACGTTTCCACGTGTGACATGGCAGTACAGAGTCTTTTAATTAACAATAAAAAATAATACATTCAATTTGTTAACCCTAAGCAGTCGTCGCCTCGGCGGTCGCTGACCTATTGTATCTTCATTAACCACAGAGAAAATCGTCCTCACCATAATCAGTCCGGGGGTATCGGATGGAGCGATATATACAAAATTATAATGGTTGAATTTGGTACAATTACAACATTATATCAATGACAGAAATGTATTTATGGGAGAATAGCCAATTGGGTGACTCATAACTTGGCCCTGCGGCGGAACACCTGCCTGGGCCGGGAGGCCATCTCTTTGTTGCTGCGCTCCAGCTGCGCGTGGATGATGCCGGCCGGCTTGTCCGTCGGCTGGTACACCTCGTGGTGCTCGAAGCCGCCCTTGATGGTGGACTGGAACTTGGACAGGTCCAGCGAGTTGTAGTGCTTGTTGGGCATCTGCATCTCCACGCGTTCAATCTGCAGGGCGGAAACAGAGAAAGCGAGAGAGTTTTGATCAGAGCGTGTAACTTGCTGCGAAAGGGTGTACAACGAACGTTTTGGGGTTTGACGACTCGGAGTGCAAAGGAGAGCAAGATCTAGCAGTCGAGCAAGACCACAAGACCTCTTCCCTCATGCCTCATGGTCACACTCTTGATCACCATCCGCATTGTTTTCAGCACTTTTGGACCTACCTCGTCCACCTGATCCAGGACCATCTTGGCGGCCAGGTACAGCGTGTTCTGTACGGACGGGGAAAAGATGCCCTCCTTGGGGTCGCCGGCGAACTTGTCGAGGATGCACTCCTTGACCGTGTGCCTGCGCAGAGGAGAGTACGCCCGTGGTGATGTCGATATCCGCTGAGACGTCTTTCGTTTCATAGAAGATCTGCCTCAGCTGGTCCAGCGGGTTAAAGGGGCAGAGCTAGGCCCGCAGCACGAGGCGCTAGTGAAGAACGAAGCGCGTGCGGCGTGCCCCCCCCCCCTCTCTCTCTCTCTCTCTCAGACGTTCCGCCCCGCCCCTCCCTCAGAGAGAGAGAGAGGTGGGGAGGGTGGAGCGGAACTTCGAGTGGTCACAGGACGATTGCCGGAAGTAATTTCCGACCCCGCCTTCCCTTGCCCGCAGTGCTCCCCAGACGCACTGACCAGCCACACGGCGGGAGGGTAGGGAAGAGGGAGAGATGGGAGAAAGGGGGCCGAGTCCCGCGGGGCGCTGGGGAGGGCACTAGGAAGTAGCCGGCCAGAGCGCACTCCTTAACGCGCGACTTCAGGTCCAGGACACGCAAGGACGCGGTTGGGAAGGGGCCGGCAGGACCAGCAGCACCAGGACTCACATCATCAGAATGCTCGTGCGAGCGAAAAAGAAACGCCGTGGAGCGCGCGCAGGCTAGAGGGGGCGGGGCAGGGGGTGGAGAATCGTCTCAGCGACGTATCTCATCGGGGACAAACACACTCAGAACGCAAAGGAAAGTTGTATGAATTTTTCATACACTGGACGGGATGTGACTGCGTAGTACGCGAGGAAAGCAGAGGACATGGCGATGGCGTCGGGGGTTTGAAAAGGAGGGGGGGGGGGGATGAGCGGTGGGCGTGGGCGACCGCGTGTGGGAGTTCGTGCGTGGACGTGTGCGTGTCGGTGGTTAGGCCACCGGGCCGACAGTGGCGCAGGCTGGATGTGGTGGCTGATGACGTTAACAGCCGACCAGATGCAGACGCACCACTCACTCACTCACCCGGCACCGGTTCCCCAACCCCGGCCCGTCCCCCTGGACCCGCGCAGTCGCGCAGGCCCAGCCTCCCGCCGCCCGCCTCGCTGCTGCTGCGGCTGCTGCTGCTGCTGCTGCTGCTTCGCTGGGCTCGTTTGCCCTCGACACACACAACTGAATATGCGTCATTAAACAGTTTAGCAATCCCCTCCCCCTCCACCTTCCCCCTCCTTCTGCTCCCGATGGTTGACGTATACCGCCATATCCCCTCCCTACCCTCTTCCAGCTGTTTGTGTTGCTCGATTGCTCATCTGTAGACAGATACACAGGCGCTCGCACCAGCACAAATACATACACACATGCACACACACACACTCATGCGCACACCTTGCAGCCACACCATGCGAAGCTCAAGATGAAATGGGGTGGTAATCACCCAACGCGCATAGCAGAAGTCGCTTCTACATCGCGGCGGGGAAGGAGGTATCCTAAGGGAGGGGGTGGCGGGGGGTAGGAGGAGGAGGAGGGGGTCCTCTTGGGGCCAAAGGACGCGACACCGCGACACGTCCTGTCGGCTGCGGCTCCGAGCCGCCATCCGCCGCAGCCGCAACCGCCCGGAGAAAGTTGGCACCCCCCCCCCCCTCTCCGACCAATCCTTCCTTCTTCCTTCTCCGATGGGAAAGTGGAAGTCACGACAGGATGTGGGTGGAGGTCGGCAGGCAGAGGGGTCGCGCACACACACACACACGCGCGCATACCTCTACGCGCACGCCCTGTGTATCCCGAGCGATAACGCAAAACAGCAGAGAGGACTGCCTGGCCGGAGCCGGCGGCCGGCGCGGCGGCTTGGAAAATTGTGTATCATCGCGGTCCTCCCCCCCCCCCTCCCCCTTCCTTTCCCCCCTTTCTTGGGGCTGCAGCTCCTCGCCGCCCCGCCCCACCACACTTTGCCGCCCCGCCCCACCACGCCCTGCCGCCGCACCACGCCACGCCCTCGGGAGATAAGTGCCGCGACGTGTGTTTCTGCATAATGCGTCGAGGAGGCGAGGGGGTCGCCAGGGGCGCGGCGGCGCGGGGTGTGGGTCGAGGCGGGGCGGGGTGCGGCGCTGGCCCCGCTGGTGACGCTCACCAGACTCTGTCGAAGTCCACGCTGCCCGTGTTGTACAGCCAGGAGGCGGTCACCACCGTGCTGAAGATGCGGTCGTTGGCGTCCGGCAGCGTGCGGTACTCGTCCTGGACGAAGTCGCGGAAGGAGGACTGCGTCGTCTTGAGCACGCGGAGGCCGTGGAGCTCGCCGCGGATGCGCGGAGCCTCTGCGAGGGAGACGGAAAATGGTGCATTAAAATGAACAGGGGCATGAGAACACACCCGTGCATCAGTGTGGCACCACACTTCTTTTTAGAAAGAAAAATATCGAGTTTCTGCCGGCACGAACCACATCTCATTGAGTCCGCAGTAGCCTTAGGGACCATCCAGAAAGTACGTCCATTTTTTTAAGATTCGTTCAGCGAAAAAGGGAAATGAGCGCCTGCGAGGCTCAAGGTAGGCCAGCCCGCAGAACACACATGCACTACATACGAGAAGTTGCCTGCCCACCAGGCGCTCCGAGTGCTAGCACAGGATGAACTTGGCAGTTTTGGAACAGCGAATCACAGACGTACTTTGTGGATGATCCCTTACATCTAGGAATGTGTAGGAATGGGGAACACGTGGGCACACGGCACACCCCCGTGTCTCCGGTTAGAACCATACATGACCCACTCTTTTAAGGAAAAATAAGAAATAGATAGTCCCCTCGATCAGGGCAGGGCAGGTCAATAGTCGATCTGGTAGGAACACACTAGCATGCACGCTCTTCCTTGTGTGCACATGGTCGACCGTGGTGCTTACAGTGTTCTGGTATTATTCGGACACGAGCACATACCGTTTCTACGCTGGCTCACGGTGCAAGACCGGTACGCTACGGGGCTCATCACGAAGGCGTGGTTGTGCTTCTGGCCGTCCCTCATGATTCTGGTCCAGGGGTACTCCTCGATGTGGACGGAGGCCTCGGTGACCTGGGGGTACGTGTACAGGAAGTGGCTGCACAGCAACAAGCTGAAGGCCTCGGGGGACTTGATCTGGAGGCAGAGGGAATGGTTACAACAATGCACTTCAGCACTGAGTCATACAGGAGTTCGGGTAGCCTCCGTCGCGACTCACCCCAAACTTCTTGGCCAGCACGTAGACCGTGTTCTTCTGCGTGTCAGTGGCGATGATGTGCTTGTTGTCGCCCTGCAGGAAGTCTTCGCGGCTGTCGAGCTGCAGGTGCGTGTTGACCTCGTACTCGCGGATGCTGTGCCGCAGCCCGTCGCGGCGCACCTTCAGGATCTTGACGTAGTTCTTGCCGTAGCCGTACTCGGCCAGCTCGTAGGCCTCGTTGGCGTCCTTGCCCGGCGCCGACGATCCCGCCGGCGTCCTGAGGTCTTCCGGGAGGAAGGGCGTCTCGACGGCCGAGGAGTACGACGGTTGCACGTCACCGGCGCCCCGGGCCTCGTCGCGACTCTGGGGGTTCATCTGGAAGACCAAGAAAAGAGTTGTTGAGTGAAACATATTTCAGGACATTGAATGGGTACAAACATGAGATTTTTAAAGGAAATTGTCAGTGTGGTCTTAGTGGACGTCAAGGGGAAGGAGAGGGCGGACATGGTGGTGCTCACCGCGAACGTATTCACGGGCGCAACTTCCGTGACGTGGTTGCCCCGCCACGTGTGTGAGGGCCCGCGCCCACTCTCCCTTCACTCTCTCTCTCGCCTCGTTTTCCATCTTAATTCCCTGACACCCCCGGTGGGCCGCAGGGCCGCAGCGAGTCCAGCTTTACTGAGTGCTCCCATGACAATGTGGCGGAGCTGCGGGGGGGAGGGGGGGGCGGAGGGGTGCTGCCCCCAGTTACTCATACTCAGGACGCGACGGGGTTGGGCGGGCGGCAGGGCGGCGAGAGGACAACCAGACCAGCCCCACACCCCGCGCCGCCCCCCCCCCAGCCGGACGCCGAATTCGGCAGTGGTTGCGGGGGTAGGGGACTAATCATGCTTTTGTGACCCCTGGGGTAGGCGAGGGTAAACAGCGCGGCCCCAGACTGACGGGCCGGGGGAGGAGGAGGGTGATGGGGGGAGGGGACTTTGGGCCGGCGGGCGCAGAGTGTGGACCTCGGGCACCTCCCCGAGTTTGCCGCAGCAGCTCCCAGAAATAATTGACGTCCGTCATCACTAATACAGCCGCTACCCGCGCCCACCACCGCCCTCCTCACCCCTTCAATCAAACCGAGGACCTTTGGCTTCCGCGGCAGAGCAGCAGGGCCGACCGGGGGAGCCACTTGCGCACGCAAAGCAGTCGACGGGGCTGGTTGTTTTTATGATTATTTGGCTGCACTAAATTATGATTAATATAAGCGCTGCTGGTCAGCCCGGCGACGTGAAAGTTGGACGTCCCACGGCGACAAAGCGACGACCTTGGTCCCGCGGGCTTACGGCGCAGGCG